TGTTTTCCTCAATGATGCTTTTCATATTCACTCTTGGGAGAACCTTTCCCTACTTATTGTGTTGTGTAAGTCATGTCAGTTGTTTCTGACTCTTTGTGACCCCATTTGGGATTTTCTTGGCAAGATACTGAAGTGGTTTGCCATTTCCTGCACCAGTTTATTCTACAGAAGAGGAAACTGAGATAAACAGTTAACTGACTTGTTCAGGATCACACAGCTTATAAGTGTCTTAGGCCTGATTTGAACTCAGATCTTCTTGACTCCAGGACTGGCACTCTATCCACTATGCCATCTAGCTACCCTCCTTATACTTTTCAGATATAAAGGTCTATATAGTCAAAGCTACTGTTTTTCCAGTAGCAATTTATGACTGTGAGGGTTGGAATATAAGGAAAGCTGAGCCCTACAGAATTGACATTTTCAAATTGTGGTGCTGGAGAAAACTTTTGTGAGTCCCTAGAACACCAATGAGATCAAATCACTCAATACTTAAATAAATTAATTCCAGCTATTCCACGGAAGGTCAAATGCTGAGGCTTAAATATTTTGGTCACATAAAAAGAAGATAGGACTCATTAAAAAAGACCTTGATGTTGGGAAAAATTGGAGGCAAAAGAAAAAGAGGGCGACAGAGGACGAGATGGATAGATAGTGTTACAGAAAAAAAATGAACATGAGCTTGGACAGACTTCTAGAGATATTGGAGGATATAAAGGCCTGGCTGCTGTGGTTCATGGGCTCAAGAAGACTCCATCACAACTGAAGGAACAAAGGAAAACAAAATATTTCTCAATAGCACTTTGTGATATGATGCAAATGAACTTACAATATGTAGTATTGATGAAGTCTAGTGGTTTAGGGGTGCTGGAACCTGCCTGAATGAATTCAACCCAAATCTTCTTTCAGCCAGAGGAAAAGTTTATTAGAGATAAACCACACAGGCCAGACTCTTACAGAATCTGAGCATTAGTAATGCTCTGTAGGGATGAGTGGGCATGAGAAAGTCTCAGCCTTTTGGGCATGAGAGAGTCTCAGTGTTTGAATGGAGGCCAGGATGGATCTCATATACATAAAGTAACTTTGGGTGGCCAGAGGAGGGGGCTGGGAAAAGGGTCTAAGTGAGAATTCTGATTGGAAGGTCTGAGAGGTTGAATAGACAATGGGAATAGACAATGAAGGGAACTGGAAGGAAAAAGTTTGAAAAGCATCTGAATAAGGTCAAAAGGAGGGGCTAGGGCTTTCAAAGGGAGATAAGGGGAGTCCATAAGGAACTGTTTGAGACCAAGAGTAAGAAAAGTTTAAGGGTTCTCTGGGGCCTGTATACAAATGGGAGCCAGATTCTTTTTGGAGCAAGGGGAGAAGGTCTTGGCTTGGGCCCATACCCCATTATAATTGATTATGATAGCTATCTGACCTAGGTTTCTTATCTTAATGCTAGATTGTAAACTTCTTGAAGATGTTATACGGAGAAATTAGCGAGTTGACCAACCAGGCTAATTTTAAATTGTGGACTTTATTATATTAGCATGCGGCTGCCAGGGATATTCACATCCAAATCAAGCAGCCCCCATCAGGGGTCGAGCCAGGGTTTATGTAGGGAGTATACAGGACAGGGAGGGGGATGGATCTTTGAAGTCTGGCAAGAGGAAGAGGTTTTTTGGGGGGCTGGTCAAGGACACCCTTCTCCCTCTGTGTAGATATGATAATACTGTGCAAACTTTCTCACAATGGAGGCTTCCAGAGATATGATCTGAGGGCTGTGGCCTGAGCAGCCAGATAAGGGTCTTGCTAAGGAATTTGGAGGTTTCCATGGCCTAAAGGGTTCTACTACCTAAATGGTAAAATAATGTTCTGCATTACAAAGACAGGAATGGATTTTTATGTAATCTTTGTAGCTCCCCCAGACTTAGCACAGAGTTGCACACAGTACATGTACTTACTAAAATTTCATTGTGTTGTGTTTTGCAGTATTTTTGTTCTAAAGCAAATTTGAAACATGAATTTAGAACTATCTTGTTTTATTTTAAAAGTCTGAAAAATACAGCAGCATTGGAGACATAGATATGCATGCTTCAATGAATTAAGTGATGTTCTTTGTGAAATGCATTCCCTAAATTCATTTGGAAATTAGTCTTCTACATTATGGTCTGAGAGGAAATCATTTAATAACATTATTGTTTCATTATGGTCAATTATAAATGTAGTATCTCTTTTTATTTGTTTTTGTGGTTCATTTTTAGGCCAAGGGATATCATATTCTTCCAGATTCAGATTCACTTGTATATCCTTTGTACAACTTTAGAATTTCTAAAAATGTGTGTCAGTATTAAATCTTAAAAGTATCTGTGGGGGTAGCTAGGTGGCACAGTGGATAGAACTTCAGCCTTGGAGTCAGGAGGACCTGAGTTTAAATCCAGCCTCAGATACTTAACATTTACTAGCTGTGTGACACTGGGCAAGTCACTGACCCAATTGCCTCACCAAAAAGCAAAAAAAAAAGTATCTGTGACAATATTTCAATATCTAAAATTGATATTCAGAGCTTTTCCATCTACAGTGAAAACTAGAAGAAAAAGCAGTATGATTTTTTTTTAAAAAAAGAGAAAGAGTTTTGAGTTGCAAAAAAATGAATTTGATACTAGCTTTGCCACTTACTGCCTGTGTGCCTCCACTGCCAGGCAAGTCACTTCACTGTCCGGTCCCTCAATTACCTCATCTATAAAATGAAAGTATTGGACCAAATCATAACTTAAAAAAACCCCATAAATTTTATAGCTTCCTATAAAATGAAGTGTTTAGACCAGACCTGCAACCAGACAACTTGGCAGTAGGTAGGAGCCAAAATTAAGATAGGATAAACTTCTTCAGGCCACAGACAGGTTAGAATAGAGACAGACTGATGATAACTGGTTTGTTGTGGGTCACGTGAAAAACAGGAGTGTGCACAGTGGCAACCTTACATTTTTTCGAGGGCCACCAGAAATCCTTTGGTGGACCCCAAGTGGCCTGCGGGCCATATGTTGTGCAGACCTGTGTTAGACCTAATCATATCTGAAGAACTTTCTAGCTTTACATCTCTGGTTCTATGACTTATCACATCAGGTGTAAGAATTGGAAGTATTTAAAGATCATGTAGTTAAACCCCTCATATTACAGAAAAGGAAACTGAGGCCCAGAGAGTCTAAGTGACTTTGTCAAGGTCCCCCTTGTATTAAGTAGCCAATCACTATTCAGATGACTCCAAAGCCAGTGTTCTTTCTTAAATACCACACTGTAACAATTGTGAGGATGAAAGATATTTATAATATATTAAGGGCATACCTTTCACACCCATTTTATTTCATTAAGATCAGTGATCTAATAGCTTCTGGTGTCTATTTCTCATGAGGAAAGCTCAGTGCCAAATGACTGAGCAGTGAGTAAGCTGAGCCTGTAGCAGGAAACAAGAAGAATCAAATTACAGTAAAAGAAGTTGCAGTTCAAGACAAAAGTAAGAGAAAATTCATAAAGAACTCATTGAAAATATAAAGATTTTGTTGGTTTCATACATTTATTAAAGTTTTGTAAAGCTACACCAGCAAAGTGAGGTGAGCAATCTTGTAATTTCCCAAGCAATTCAACCAGTCTATTGGAATCCTTAACTAAGTGTGCCAGAATAGAGGCTTCTTTTGGCTTGAGTTCTGTGCCCAATTGTCTCCAATGGGCACTTTGGGCATCTTTTGCTCCTTTATTCACAGTCTTAATATAAAAAACATGTATTATACAGACAGAACCTTCAGCAGATTGATGGCAAACATAAAATGCACCCTTCTCTCACACTAAATGGTGGCTTAATTATCAGAAATTTTAGTGAGACTTGGCTGCTTTAGAACTGAATGGTTGTTAACAGTACCTATTGTTTCAGTAGCAGACTATCTATTGAAGTGATAAGGAGTTGAAATAAGGTGTGAAAGCTGGCAAGCTGCTCTTTTGTTTGAAGTTACAATTGCATAGACAAAAGCCAACAGGAAGCCCAGTATGGGAGGGATAAGGCAGTGAATGGACTTTCCCGGCTCCTGCTTTATCAGAATAGGGGTTATTTGAAATGGCATCAGAAATAGCAGGCTTGGAAGCTCCAGCTGAAATGATAATGGGAAAAAAATACAATTCCAAATTTATTTGGGCTGAGAAATGCTTTAGCCCTTTCAAACTCCAGGCTGCTAAGCTGGGAAGGGAAAAATGCATGCAGTTTTCTTTGGTAGCATTTTAAATGAATTGCTTATAGTTTTCCATAGACTGTATATCTCAGTAATGAAAGTGTAATCGATGGCCTGAAAATCTGAATCCAATGGATTCCAATAGCCACCATCTTCTTGTCCTTGCAAGGCATGCTAAGAATTCCTGCAAAGTAGCTGTTCCTTCTATGATTTGACAATGTGTCATCACTAATGGGAATACTGACACATACATCCATATTGGTCTTTCTGCTGATAGGACATCATTCACTGAAGCTTCATGTTACTAGGACAGTGTTTTGAAACATAAAGTGAAGAGAAATGATTGGCCTCAGAATGCAGGGGGAAAAAAAAAAAAAAACTCCGCACAGTCCTGATCTGCATGAAATGTATCCTTGTATGAATTCTTTTTTTTTTTTGACCTTTTGATTCCTCTCTGAGCAGTCATTCTTAATGCATAAGTAAATTGAGAAAATACAAACTGTCATGGTTATTGCTGTGCAAGAAAATAAAATCAGTAATTATGGCATAGACAATGGTTTATTTTCATAATATCTTAGAATTCAGAGTTTGGAAAGACTTCAAAATTCATTAATATAATCCCCTCATTTTACAGATGAGGAAACTGAGGTCAAGAGGGTTGTAACTTAAGACATTTTATAATTACAGGAACACCCTGAAATTTCCATTTTCAATGGCTTTAGCATTCTCAGCAGCATTTTGGTTCTTCTGCCAGAGTTGTTACTCAGTACAATCATTTCAGCTTTCTTCTTCTTTTCTTTTCAGATGTACAACAAATGGCAATAGATTGGCTCACTGGAAACTTTTACTTTGTGGACCATGTCAGTGACAGGATTTTTGTATGTAATCACAATGGATCTGTGTGTGTTACCCTGATAGACCTTGAGCTTCACAACCCCAAAGCAGTAGCTGTCGATCCAATAGCAGGGTAAGATACTCTGGGTTTTGATTTATTTTTTTTTCATGTTTGATGTTGAATAAATACTTTCAGGAAAAGGAAATCAAGAGCCTGGAAGAAATCTGCTTTACATTTTTTTTTCTCTCCTTTCGAATTTTCACAGTCCACTTGGTTGGCATAAAAATAGGCCTTACCTGACATTTTATGCTAATTAGCTCATTAAATTTCCTTAATGCTTACTAATTTGACAAGGGTATAGTTATGCAAAGTATGAATAACACATCTACTTTATTCAGAAGATTGGAAAATCAATATTTACATTTTTATTTCATAAACGTATTAGTATTTTGGGGAGGGACAGGGAGAGAGTTAAAATATTGTGCATTTTGGAAAAAGGTGTTGTCGCCAATGATGTAGGTCCATTACTTTTAGTTGGAGGGATGTTTATCTTTTCAGGTGTAAATCACAGTAAGGATTCTGAAACCAAAGTTTTATCCTTATTGTTTTATGAGTCTCCAGGCAGTTCAGTCTGAAATGTCTGATGGAACACATCCTAAATTGCCATAAGCCTTCATTCAATAAATGGGAAAATATTTACTGAAGAAACAGCTGTCATCCATATGTGGACTTTTGTCACTCTTTACTTAAAGTCTGATTGAATATTAAGATGCATCATCACAATGGGTCTGATTTTGACAGAAACAGCTTGCAAGCCAGGACTTTGCTAGGAAGGCTGTATAATATAATTCCTGAATATCGCTGTATTTGTATTTGCAGCAGATGGTAAACTTGACTCAATCTGACTGCAGAGATGCTTCTGAAGACATTAATAAGAGAAGTTGTATTTAAACTGATTTGTTTGGGTTGTTGGGTAATGCTAGTAAGAAAGAATTGGAAATTTTCAGATGTGCTAACAGGATCTTTTTCAGCATCCCTAGTTAGAAATGTATTTGCTTGCCGTTTCTTTCTGGGGCGTGTGAGTTGAATTTTAAATTCCCTATTAAACAATTTTGTATGTTAAAGATGCTACAAGGTAAAGTAAAGTTACTGTTTTATTTTGTTTTGTTTAGTCCTCTTTGAAACAAAGAAGCATAGACTCTTTTGAAAAAGAAATGCCAGTATGGAACTTGATGTATATTAACACTCCCCCCCACCCCCCAAGCAACAACACATTTCATGTTTTCAGGCTTCCTATTTTTCCCTGTCGTTATATGAAAGACTTACATTTTGTCATTTTGTCAAAGGAATTTGGAACCTCACATTGTTTTCACTTATTCTCTGCAGGATTCCTTTGGGCCTAGTAGCTGTTTAAGTGTAATTCTGTCATGTATCATTTATCACCATAGGTTCCTGGGAGTTTTTTGTTTGAATTTACCGTGTCTCTCAGGCACAATTTTTCAATTACAGACTTGTTGAAATTAGGAATGGAAAAGTCCTGTTTTGATGATTGGCCCACCCTTCAGAAAGTGGAAGGGTTGTACTCTACAGCTCATTCTGGAATAATTTCTTGTTCTTCCTTTCCTTCAGGAAGTGATAAGAGAAGGGAGTCATGGTACCTTTCATAGTGAAAGAGATGAAATGCAGTGCAGGGTGAAGTGGGTTTGAGGAAGAGGCATAAGAGGCCCAGACTCTGGGCGTAATTCTTCTATCAATTCATTCTGTGACATTAGCCAGTCATGTGACTTTTCTGTTCCTCAGTTTCCTCATCTGCAAAATAAAGAGGTTCAACTGAACAATCTCCAATGTCCTTTCTAGCTCTGTGATTCCATATTTGATTCTAGAATCTTTTTTTTTCTTTTTGGTGAGGCAATGGGGTTAAGTGACTTGCCTAGGGTCACACAGCTAGTATCATGTGTCTGAGACTAGATTTGAACTCGGGTCTTTCTGACTCCAAGACCAGAGCTCCATCACTCCATCACAGAGCACCACCCAGCTGCCCCTTCTAAAATCTTTTTTAAAAATTGTTTTTATGTTGGACATTGTCTTAAGATCTTATTGCTTTAGGGAAATGAATCAATGTACAAAGGCTTCCCTATGAGACAACTGAAAAAAAAGCCTCATTGTTCACTGATTTGGACTCAGTGTCTCTAACCCTAAAATATTAGAGAACATTCAGTCCACTTATGTCAAACACAAATAGAAATGATCCCTACTTCTGCATATTGACTTAGAAGACCACAAATTAGCATTATCTTTGTGGTACTATATTTTTATTTATTTTGTTAAACATTTCTCAATTACATATTAGTCTAGTTGCATTCTGGGAGTTTTATGAGATACTTGCCAGGAATTTGACACTTCTGATAGTCTAAACTACTTGATATGTAGATGAGGAAACTGAGGTACCCAGTGTTAGGGTCCTCCAGCCACAGATGGTGACATTCCTATAGAATCTGACTATGCAGGATTGAGTAAGAAAGAGCTCAGAAGGTGCAAATGTCCCTGATTTAGTTTTAGTGTCACAAACACGCACTTTTACAGTGGTGTGCTGATAAATGGTGAACAAGTTGAGGTGGATGGAAACTGCCCTATGACACATGGTGAAGTTTAATCTGAATTATTAATATTTTCTTCATCACTTTCTTGAGACTAAACAATCAACAAAACAATAAATCATCTTGATTTGTAGTGTTTGCTGATATCCAAGGTGTAACATGTAAATGTTTTCACTGAAAATTTAAAATCAGCTCTAGGAGAACCTGGTTTGACTGGGTTCTATCACATTCCTAGGTTACAGAAGAGGCCAATGCATAAGACTTTTCCCAGTGTGACATAATCCAGGGGAGCATAAACACAGACATATAGCTAAAGCTACCCAGAAAACCACACACTCTGACTGTATTGCTCTGCTCTTAAGAGGCACCCCTTGACCCTCTTCCTCTCCTTCCTTCACATTGCTGAACCACCAAAGCATAGTGGGCTAGCCTTGACATCAACCCCCAGGTCTGAATCCTCCATATTTGGTCTGTTGTGTATAGATAGCCTTAATAAGAGTGGAAATTATGTGACTGCAAGGGCTATTGGCAAAAGCTGTGGTCCTCCTGTCTCCCAGATGAACTTCTCTATCTTCTTGACTGTGATACACAAAGAGATTGAGTGGCTTTTCCAGAATCACACAATGAGGTAATAAGCAGAACTGGAACTAGAACTCAGGGCACTTGAGTACCAGTGTTCTTTCTGTACTAATTCAGGCTACCTTAAAACACTACCTGACTCCAAATCTGACACTTTTTCTATTGTATCACACTGACTTACGCTGTGCATTCTAATTCATAAGTGTGCTTTTCCTAAGACATTTAAAGAGTACTTCCAGAAATGACAAAAGTGACTCACCATAAGCAAAAAGGCAATGAGACTGAATAACTCACATAATTTCTAGATTATCCTAACTGGATAACATTTCTTCTGCTTAATACCTGCCATGATTCCTCTCAAAGTCCACATATTATCCTGCTCATGTCTAACACTTCACACTGTAGGATCAGATCATGTTTCACTTTTCATACCTCTTCTCCAACACTAGGATGGTAAAGGACCTCATTGTCTTCTAAGCTCAATTGAAGCAACTGGGAATGTATATTGAAGAAGAGAAGACCCAGGGTGGGGCAATGATCATTGTCTTAAAGTATTTCCAGGGTTGTTATTTGAAAGAGGATGTAGATGTGTTCTACTTAGCCTCAGAAGGCAGAGAAGTAGGATCAATCTGAAGTAGCAAAGAGGAAAATCTGGGCTTGATGTCAGGAGAAACTTGCTAATAATAGCTCATGCTTTCACAAAGTGGAATGCACCTTGGGAGTTATTGCACTCTGGCTTCTGGAAGGACTTCTAGCAGTGGCTGATGACCACATACTGGGTGTATTGTATGAAAGATTATTGTTCAACTATGTTGAACTAGATGGTTACTGAGAATACTTCCAGCTCCAAAATCCTGATTCATGATTGCAATGAATACATTTGTGTAGGAATTCCAAATTCACTCTTAGCCAGTCAGGAAATCTTCCAATCAGTACTTACTTAACCATTAACTAGAGTAAATACTGCAACCCTCTTTTAAGGGAGGGTTCATCAGTTGTGCATCACACAACTTATGCATGGTACAGCATTATAGTCAGACAATGTTATCCCAAAGGCAAAGAGACAACAACCCACTCAGAAAAAGTTACAGAGACTTTTTTTTTAATCACAGACTGGTCACTTCATTAGTTTTAATTGTTGGAAATGTGAGGCGCTCATGTCTGAATTACATTATAATTTAAAAAAACATTTCCATAAATTTTCAACATGATCATTGACCTTGAAACTCTCAGCTACAGAACTTCTTAATTTTTCATGTAATATGCTTGATTTGTTCCTCTTCCTGGTAAGATATTCCATGAGTATGGATAGTTTCTTCTTTAGTTTATTTGTTTCTACTGGACTCTTTCTTAATTTTCTACTTCATTTCTGTAAAATACTCTGGTATTCAAAGCCTTTTATAACCTATCCCTATGCTACCTTTCTAGTATGCGTACATCCTATTTCCTTTTTGCTGTGTACTCTTAGATCCAATGACTCTGGCCTCCTGGCTGTTTCATGAACAAGACATGCCATCTTTCAGTACTAGACATTTTCTCTGGCTGCTTCCCTGCCTAGAAGGCTCTCCCTCCTCAGTTCAGTCTGCTGGTCTCCCTGGCTATCTTTAAGTTCCATCTGAAATCCCATCTTTTACAGGAAGGTTTTCCCAACCCTCCTTAACTCTATGTCTTCCCTTTGTTATTTTTTTTCCTATTTAAGGTGTATAGAGCTTGCTTTGTATATATTTGTTAGCATGTTGTCTTCCACATTCTATTGTAAGCTCCTTGAGGACAGGGGCAGCCTTTTGCCTCATTTTTTATCCCCAGTGCTTAGCACAGTGCCTGGCAGATAGTGGACTCTTAATAAATGTTAATTGATTGATGATTACTTCACTGCAATGCCCTCCCTGCCTTATTTTCTATGCAAAAAGCAGCCAGATGCACAGAGAATAAGTAGTTGAAAATAGAGTGATAGGC